CTTTCGCATGACGGATCAAGGGATTAGTGATGCTTGGTGAGAATTTTTTAGGCTACACCTGATTGATGCATTATGATTGGATCACTAAGATTTTGTTAGTTCCTGCATTTTTCAAACCTCTTTTCTAGGAATAAATATTTGTTTTGTCTGAGGATAAAAAAAAGTCTAAGTCTTGGGGAGTTAATAACACTGGATTTTTATCATTTTATAGATCACTTTTAATGTCTTATGAGGTGTTTTAACTCTGTTTTCAATATTTTTATAAGTGATTTTTATGTTTTAGAGTTTCAAAAGTTTTTTTTTCAGGAAACTTAGGCTTATGAAGTGTATTTTAGAGCAAAAGTATTTTTTAGATAAATTAAGGCCGTCAGAAGTTTGGTAACCAATGAAGACCTTCTAATCGTCTGATCATCCCCAAATTCTGAGACAACATAGAAGAGACAACCAGCTTTCTAATGCAATTAGATTGGAAGCAATCCAACAGTTAGATCTCCAGATATCCCCAATGCACTGAAGGCAAATCAATACAGTCCAAAAGGTGAAGCTGTCCTCACCCGCGGCCGAAGGACCCTGAACCACGGCTCCAACCTTCTTACCCACAGTGGGCCTATTTCCGAGCCGGAGAAGCCCAACTCAAAGCCAAAGTCACTTGCTGCAGTTATTCTGTAAAGCCTAGATGCTCTAGGGAGAATAGATGCTATAAATACATTGTCTTTAGGTCTTTTACAAGTAGTCTCTTTTCATGCTTTAGAATAGAGTACTCAATTTTTAGGTTTTAGGTTTTACTTTTATGCAATTGTAGAAGGCCTTCTTGCCAAATCTGTCTTCAATAAGAGAACCTTTTCTTTATCCTTTATCTTTTTACTCTACTGCTTTTCTGTTTTTATACCAATGATGATGTTAAGTTCAGCTATGTGATGTGCTACGAGGTGAGGGAACAAGTTTTACCCTTATAAAAACAAATGAAAGCCGCAAGTGCACAGCTAATCAGTTGTAGTACTTAGGGATCGAATCCACAGAGATTTGTGTGCCTAGTAGTTTTCTACGGTTTCTAAGTTTATGTGTAAGGGAGTTTGGTGTTTGTCACGGATTAAACTAAACTAATGAAAGCAAATGAATCTATCCTAAAAAGCAAGTAGAAAATCGAATGGAAGCAAAATGAAACAAGTAGAAAATCAAACTAAAATAAGTAAAAATGCAGATCTATGAAAGCAAGTAAATATCGATTGGTTTGTAAACTATGACTAAAAACGCTGGACTTTTAGGAACTCTACAGGGATCATAATCGTTTTCAACACTAGGGATTTTAGATTAGGATTGACGGATATCAAAATATTAGGGTTATAGAGCTAGAGTATGGCGGTATGACTGCGTCACAGTCGTGATCATAACCAACTGTCTCTCGCAACCCTGACCAGTAGGTTTCCACTCTGGCCCTGGAAGGGAGAAAACGCAGGAGCTGCACATGACTCGTCAGTACTCACAACTTCGCCGTAGGTAGGTTTCCACTCCAACGGAAAATCGCCTATTTCATTCTAGGTCTGATACTTAATGAAAACTTCCGCAACACTAACTATCTAGATCACATACGAAGTGTTCAATCAAGCATAAATGCATTAAAGATAATAATAAACAGATAACATAGTTAAAATTCCATATCTGAAAACCTAGATGTCTTAATCGATTATGAGAGTCCCTTTCGGGAACCCTATGCCCAACTCGGGATCTACTCAGCCATGGCTGAGGTCAACAACATCATTGATTTTAATGAAAGCAATTAAAAATAGTAAATAAAAGAGATGAAAGAAAGCTTCTCTATTGATGAAATCAATTAGAGTCGAAGAATCCTCTCTAAAAATCGCATAAAACAGCTGGGAAAAAGGATTTTTGTAAAAGCATGAAATGTGATGTCTAAAAAACGACCTAAATGACAAGTATTTATAGTCTTCAATACTCCAAGGTCTCTAGGGTTCCGAAATTGAGGCTGGGAAATGACTTGGACTTCAGAAATGGGCTTCTTAAGTCGAAGATTGCTGGCCGCGGTCGCGTGAAGTGTAACCGTGGGAAATGAGGGCTTGGCCTCGGTCGAGTGGCTCTGATTGCGGTGGATGGGCTGTTGGCCGCGGTCGTCTGGCTTGCCGGCCGTCTTCAAATGTCTGCGGGGAAAATGGAATATCTTGAGCCAACCGTTTGAATGTCTCCAAACCAAGTGCATTTAAAACTGGTTGATTCTTCTGTTAAGTTTCCAATTTTGAGGGTGATCAGACGGTGAGAAGGTCTTCGTCTCTCCATGAGAGTTCTGACGGTCTGAATTTATCCTATATAGTCTTTTTGTTCCAATTTTCACTTTTTCTCCCAACTTATCTGAAAAGTCTTTTAAAATCCAAAAACATAGAAATCATTTGAAAAAATTTGAAATGGAGTAAAAACACCTGCAAAAGATATTAAAGTGATCCATAAAAATGGTCAAAATCCGGTGTTATCACTATGTCTGAGTAGTTACCTTGTTGGGTAAAGGGGAATATCAATAGGGTCCTCATGATTAAAAACATCTAGGTTTTTTAGATTAAGGATTTCTTTTTCTAATTGATTCTATCATACATCCCGATCCTAATGCATGTATGTTGGATTGATCACCTAGCATCTGACCTATGGTGTAATCAGAGCCACGACAATGATATATCAGATTGCCTGATCTGGATCTTATGAACATAACCATCATAGGAGATGAAAGCTACCTATAGAGTGGGCGTGAGCCGAGATGAATTATGTTTAGTTAATGCAAGATCTCTCTCACGACAATAGACAAAAGTTACTTGTCGAGTTTGAATGATTAGATGGTTAGGGTGACGATAGTTGGCTAATCATACATGTGTCTATTCTAGTTTCAGAATCATAGAAATTCCTTATCTAAATTCGTAATGTTATAGATCATGAACCCTAGAGAAAATCTATAATACCCAACGCTTTTTATCTATTTTTTACAACCTTTTTCTTTTAGTTTTTATTTCTTGCTTAGTTTATTTAGAAATCGTGACACAAAACCCCTTTTAATATGATTAGGTTTAGAGTTTGTCTTTCGTAGCAGTTAGAAATCCTCAACACACAAATCTCTGTGGATTCGATCCCTAAGTGGTACTTGGTTTGTTGTGCACTTGTAACTTATTTAGGTAAAACTTGTAGTTGCCCACTGCACCTACATCAATCACACACTCTTTGTGATAAATGTGAATGGCAGTTATGTGGCTGTACTTATCTATGTTGATGACATTGTTATTGCCAACAATAATGACGATGAAATCACTTAGTGGAAGGAAGAGTTGAAGAAAAACATTCAAGCTTTGATGCTTAGGTGCTCTGCTATATTTTCTTGGCCTTGAAGTGGCTGGCTCTAGTTCGGGTATTTTCATCTCTCAATGGAAATATGCCTCAGAACGACTAGAAGAAACTGGAATGTTGGCTTGCAAATCGTCTAGTATTCCAATGGATGCTAGTCTTAAGCTCAGTTTGCATTCTAAGGAACCTTTGCTTGAAGATGCATCGATTTATAGATGTTTGGTGGGAAAGCTGATGTACTTGACCATCACACGTCCTGATATTATGTATGCAGTCAACAAACTTTGTCAGTTTATTTATGCACCAAAGAGTTCTCATCTGCATCAAAGGAACTGTTGGTCTGGGTGTATCTTACTCTGTAGATTCTGATTTGATTCTCAAAGGGTTTACAGATGCAGATTAGGCATTGTGTATTGATACACGGCAATCAACCTATGGTTTCTGTATATTGCTTAGATCATCTTTAATCTCATGGAATTCAAACAATCAACCAATGGTTTCACATTCTTCAGCTGAGTCAGAATACAGGGCAATACAAGTTGATTTCTGTCCGGGAGATTGAATGGTTGGTAAAGCTGCTCAAAGAGTTTCAGGTGGATCAACAGTAACTTGTGGATTTCTATTGTGATCAACAGCTGCCACATATATTGCCAATAATCCGGTCTTCTACGAGCGCACAAAACACATCGAGAATGATTGTCACCTGGTTCGGGAAAAGATCATTAGTGGTTTGATTTTCACGAGAAAATAGAGCTTCAGCTTGCAGATGTCTTAGCCAAACCTCTTTGACTCTTTTCCCATCCCAGTTTCATTATCTCATAAGAAATATATCACTCAAATCTATATTCCTGCCATCTAGAAGGGGAATATTAGATATGTAGGTATATTGGTTTATCATATTAGATGTGATTTAGTCCTGGATAGTAATGTAAACCGGCTTTATCCTATATACATATATGTGATTGTTGTAATTCATTTTACAGCTATGAAACTTTCCCAAATAATCTTATTCTCTGTAACAACTTTCTTCTAACATAATCTGATGTTTTCTTCATGTAAGAGTTAACTATTACGTCCTGACTTGGGTTTAATATATGAAACTATAGTTGCTTAAGAGCAAAGACACGAACTTGTATAAAGAATTTTCTCTCTTTATTATGTTTAGAAACTTAGCTCAAAACTAAACATCAATGTTCTCACTTATGTTTATCACAAGCTCGATAAACATATATATATATATATATATTAGAGATCCTTTACTAATCCTATTTCTATTTGAATTAGATAACTCCTAAGTCTGTTAGGCCTATCTTATCCTAATCCTTATTGGATAAGGATGTATTGGGCCTTAAGATATTGAAGCTTATCCAACATTCACCCCTTTAAGCTTCAAGTCATTTCCAGAGAGGTCTTGAACTCCAATTAGGTCTCTAATCTTCATGAACTTTATTCTTGCTAGAGCTTTTGTTAGGATATCTGCACATTGTTCTTCACCAGGTACATGCTCGACTTCAATTTGGTTTTCTTCGACGCATTCTCTGATAAAGTGATAACGCTTGTGGATGTGTTTACTCCTGCCATGGAAGACAGGGTTCTTTGTGAGTGAGAGGGCGGATATTTTATCTATTCAAATCACTAACCTCTGAACCTTCCATCCGGTAATCTCACTCAACAAGTCTTGAAGCCAAAATTGCTTGTTTGTCAGCTTCCGTGGCAGCCATGAACTCGGCTTCGCATGAGGACAATGGAACTCTGTCCTGTTTTTGGGAGCACCAGCTGATCGGAGTGTCACCAAAGTAAAAAACATGCCCGGTTGTGCTTCTTCCGCCGTCGGGGTCTACATTATGGCTGCTGTCGCTGTAGCCAATAAGTTTCTTAGAACCTCCTTTCTTGAACTTCAAACTGTACGCCAATGTCCCTTGTATATACCTCAGTATTTGTTTCATCACTCGACCATGTGATTCCTTAGGAGCTTGCATATACCTACTTAGAACTCCAACCGCAAAAGAGAGATCAGGTCTCGTATGCAAGAGATACCTTAAGCAGTCGATATGTCTTTGATCCATTGTAGCATCGATGTCTGGTTTACGTTGTTGACCTTTAGTCATGTTCAAGCCGAACTCCATTGGTATGTGAGTAGGATTGCACGAGTCTAGGCCAGCCTCCTTTAGGATTCGGCACGCATATGCCTCTTTTTTAATCTCGATCCCTGCTTTGTTTTGGTTGACTTCTATCCCAAGGTAATATGTAAGTCTTCCTAGATCAGACATATCGAAATTTGACGACATTCCAACCTTGAATTCTTTGATGTTTTCCAATGTATTTCCTGTTACAAAGAGATCATCAACATAAACAGCCACAATAAGAAGATTTTCTCCTTCTTGCTTGCGGTACACAAAACTTTCTCTTGAATACTTCTTGAACTTCATGCTCTTCAAGATTTGATCAAGCTTTGTGTTATGCTCTTGGTGCTTGTCTCAAACTATATAGGGCTTTCACGAGTTTGAAAACTTTGTGCTTTTCTCCTTTCTTTTCAAATCCTTCGGGTTGTGAGACATATACATCTTCCTTTAGTTTGCCGTGTAGAAAGGCCATCTTGACGTCGAGATGATGAATTTCCCAACCATGGGAAGCAGCTAGACCAATAAGTAACTGAACTGTTTCAATCCTTGCCACAGGTGCAAAGACTTCTTCAAAATTGATTCCCTCTTGTTGCACATAACCTTTTGAAACTAATCTAGCCTTATATTTGTTTATAGACCCATCAGCATTCCTTTTGATCTTGAATACCCATTTAAGTCCAATGACCTTTACTCCAATTGGTTTGTCGACTAAGCTCCAGGTCTTGTTCTTATTGATTGAGTCTATCTCCTCTGAACACGCCTTTGTCCATTGAATGGAACCCTTTGCTTCTCCAAAGTTTCTTGGCTCGTTATTCAATGAAAGTAGAAGTAACTCACAGTCTAAATCTTCTAGAAGGACGTGATCATCAAGGTGCTTGGGTCGTCTTCTTTCTCGTGTTGATTTTTTTTAGCTGAGGTAGTGTAATAACTTCTTCTTGCTCTTGATTACTGCTTTCATCTTCACTATCCTTTTATTCCGGCTCTGTTTCATTCTTGGTGTTACTCTGCTCGTTGTTTGATGTGGCATGTGCGGGGCTGTCAAGTTTTACCCTAAATAAAATCAGCCGCAAGTGCACAACTGATCAATTGTAGTACTTCGGAATCGAATCCACATGAAAGGAGGTTCTTTTCTGCAAAAGTATTCGAAATAAATATGAAGTAAGAAAGTTTAAAACCATGCAATTTTTTTAGGGGTTTTGGTTGTGTCTTTAAAACGTAAAAACTAATCTTAACGGGAAAATGCGGGAATCAAAATGACCTAATAACTAAATCTAGTAAAATCCGACTAAAAACAGGAAAACGGCTAGACGTAATTGCTTGAATGAAAATCGGCTGGAATAAAAAAAATAACCTAATGCCTAAAACTTATATTGAAATCGGTGAAAACTTATAAAGACGAGACGCTAAGTTTTCAGGGAAATTCTCTCCGGGGATGAACGATTCAAAATTGCTAAAAAGTAAATTAAAAGATCTTAGCTAAAACGTTTAGAACTCGAGTCACAAGCGTATGAATACGCCACTGTCGTGATCATAACCAACTATCTCTCGCAACCCTGACCAGTAGGTTTCCACTCTGGCCCTGGAAGGGAAAAGATGCAAGCTTGCTTAAGACTCATCAGTATTCACAGCTCGCCCATAGGTAGGTTTCCACTGCTATGGTTTGATCTGCTCTTCTTAAACTAGATCTGGCCCCAGATGAATACTTTCCCAACACCAAAGACCTAGATCAGATTGTCGTTCATGACGCTACTCCCATGCATTAAAAATAAGTTTAGAAGAAAAAGTTCTAGGATTTGGCTGTAATAGCTAATGGAATCCCCATCGAATATATATAGCCCCCATCGAAAATCCGTTAAACCCAACAATAAAACTACTCATACATGATTAAAGAAAGCAAAAACATTGTAATGAAAGGCTGAGTAGAAATCGATATTGAAGAAGAAATAAAGAGGGTTCAAGAGACAGATCTCTATCTCCCTAAATTTAAAAGAAAGCAAAGTATTAAAAAACCTAAAAAATATTCCTAAGCATAAAAGAGCATCCGACTTAGGGTTCCTAAAACATGTATTTATAGTGCTCAAGTCATTTCTGGGCGTCAATTAGGGCTTCTCCAAATGAGGGAATCATTTTTGGCTTGAAAATGGGTTTCAAGGTTGGACAGACCATTCTCCGTGGTCGGGAAGGACGGGACCGGTGTGAAATGGGTGTTGGCCGCGGGTAGGAATGCTTGCCGGCTGGTTTACGGGACATCTTTCTCTTCGCGTAACTTTTGATTGAACTGTTGGATTGCCATGCTATAAGGTGTGCTGGAAAGCTGGTAGTTCCTTCTTTAAGGTCTCCAAATTTGAGCTGGATCAGACGGTGAGAAGGTCTTCATTATCGGGTGAACTTCTGACGGTTTGACTCTGAGCTGAAATCTGTTTCTATCCATTTGTTAAGCTTTTTTCTAAGTTTCCTTAAAAGAGTCTTGAAACTACAAATACTAGAAAAACATAATAAAAACATTTGAAAGAAATAAAAAACATAGAAAAAGTATTTCAAAACGATCCATAAAAGTGGTCAAAATACGGTGTTATTATCCGTCCAGGTGTATGGACCTTGTCTTTCGTCCATTGCTTCTCCCCACGTCATATGAAACATGCCCGGTTCAATTTTGGCTTTTTCATCAGCTCCCTTCCAATTCCAACCTTCCTTTTCATTGAAGACAACCTCTCTGCTTACAATGATTTTCCTTGATGTTGGATTGTAAAGTCTATACGCCTTAGATCCTGGCTCGATCCCAAGGTGTATTAGAGCTTGTGATCGATCATCCAGCTTTCTTAGGTTGACGTTTTCGATTTTTGCATACGCAAGACATCCGAAAACTCTTAGGTGATCAATCTTTGGCTTTATTCTTCTTAAGCATTTGTAGGGTGTTTTATCCTTAAGTCATCATGTATGGACTCGATTAATAAGGTATGTTGAATGACGAACTGCTTCTCCCCACAATATTTTTGGTACCCTTATTGCTTTGAGAATACTTCTTGCCATCTCCATTAGTGTTCGGTTTCTTCTTTCCACTACACCATTCTTCTGTGGGGTGTAGGGAGCTGTTAGATGGTGTTTAATCGCGTTTTGATTTCAGAAATCTTAGAACTCTTTGCTAGTAAACTCCCCACCTCTATTTGTACGAAGTGTTAAGATCGTGTTGTCAAGTTTCTTCTCAACAAGAGTCTTGAACATATTGAATTTCTCGAATGCCTCACTCTTTTCCTTCAACAAAATCGTCCACATATATCTTGTGTAATCATCAATGATTACAAAGATATACCTGTTTCGAGCAAGAGTGTTTGGTGTTTTGGGACCACACAAATCGGCATGAATGAGTTCTAGTACCTTTGTGGCTCGGTACTGTGTTGCTTTTGGGAAAGCTTGACGAGCTTGCTTTCCTACTAGGCATGATTCGCATAGCTCCTTTTCACTTTCGATTTTGGGTAATCCCTGAACCATCTCCAATGCTGACATGGTCTTGATAGTCCTAAAACTGATATGACCAAGTCTCGCATGCCAATTCCATGTATCTTGATCAATTTTGGAGTGTAGACATATTGGTTTACCAATCTTGAGGCTGATCTTGTACAGTCTGTTAGGGGATCTTGTTACCTTTACTAAGAGTCTTCCACTAGGGTCACACAGGGTTAGATAATCTCGCTTCATTCTTACGTCACAGTCGTACTCTGTAGCTTGTCCCAAGCTAAAAATGTTGCCCATTAGTGATGGAATGAAGTATATATCGGTTAGTAGTTGCTGTTCACCTGTTTTCCTTCAAACAGAATTGATCCTTTGCCACACAAGTCATCACCAAATTCGACATCCGGAAGATCGTACACCGGTCATATGGTTGCTTGCTCCGTTATCCAAATACCAGATTCCTTCTTCTCCTTCGTCAGATTCGAACTTCTTTGGAATTACCTTTACCTCATTAAGGAAGATGATCTCATGCATGTATAGAGCTTCATCGGCTTCCTCTGTTTCGACTTTGTTAAATTCTTGAAGTTTCTTCTTTTGCTCAGGACAAATCAAAGCAAATTGGCCTGGTTTGTCGCACCGAAAACATACAACGTCTGGTGTATCCTTTGTTTCTTTGTTTCAGGCTTGTCCATTGCATCTGCCGCGGCCTCTTCCTCGGCCTCTTCCACGTCCTTGCGAGCCATCATGGATTGGTGTGGTTTCCTTGTGTTGCGGTGTTTGTGAACAGCAAATTCCCCTGAGGTTCAACATGACTTTCTTCTTGTATACGCTCTTTGTACGCTTTGAGTCGTCCTACTATATCTTCAAAACTTGTTGTATTTAGGTCAAGGACTTGCTCTAAGGAAGCTACGATTTGTATATACTTGTTTCTTGGTAAGCTTTGAAGAAAATTCTTCACCATCTTTGTTTCTTCAACCTTTTGTCCTAACGCTGCAGATTTTGAGGCTAGCTCCGATATCTTACCTGAGAAGGTATCGATCGTATCTGAGTCACTCATCTTCAACCTCTCAAACTCAGACATAAGACTCTGGAGGCGAGCTTCTTTTACTCCGTCTGCTCCTAGGTATTTTTTGATTTGATTGCTTCCCAAATACCTTTAGGCGAATCATGATCGCCAACTTGTAATATGCGACTTTTGGGTTCGATCGTATCCCATACTTTGTGAACTCGTAAAGTCACCTTCATCCTCATGTTTGGTGTAATTTGTTGAAGTAAGAATGGGACACTGGATCGATGAGGGTGAAGGAGTTGTCTCCTTGCGTGTAGGGACGGTCGTGACAGCCATGGAGTCCGCTCCTATGGAATCCTCTTCTCCTGCCATCATCGGTTTTGTCTCTACCTCGCCTTCTTCTCCTCCACGTTAACTCTGTGGCTCTGATACCACAATATAGTTGCTTAAGAACAAAGACACGAACTTGTATAAAAAATTTGCTCTCTTTATTATGTTTAGAAACTTAACTCAAAACTAAACATCAATGTTCTCACTTATGTTAATCACAAACTCGATAAACTTATATATAGATTAGAGATCCTTTACTAATCTTATTTCTATTTGAACTAGGTATCGAGCCTCCGCAAAATCACAGAAAAATAAGGTATATTAAACTCTTAATTATTTCAAAAATATACATATAACAAAAGGTGATGATACTTAGATGTAAATATCTAATTTATTGAAAAATTAACTACTATTGTAAAAAATAAATAGATATGACTTTCAAAACTATAAAGATACAAAGACGAACGAAGCCGTACAAAGCAATTTACACAAATTTTATTTGAGTTCATAATTTACA